AATATCCATTCCAACTTTAAACATGTTATCTTTAGAACCAGTAATTTGTACTCTAGATTTAATAACATCTATTGGGAAAATTGCAGTCCACAATGTAATACCTCCTACCGACCCTGCAATCATTGTCTTGAAAATACCAATATCGTCCTTGGTCTGACCTGGTTTTGTAAACATTTCCCTGGTGAACTCGTAGCCACCAAAAAAGCAAAAATATCCAGGCATCTCTCTAGCAATCGTAGGTCCTAAACCATTAAATAGTCCACGAATTCCATGTTCACTAATAATTGATTTAGTCAAATTAATCGGGCCGATTTTACTGCCGCCGACTTCTACCACAGAAGCTTCTTTTATTGCTTGCAATTGGCACTTTACTAATTCTATTGGACATAATGAAAATGATACGAAAAATGCTGCCAAGCAACCTGCACTTGCATTACTAAATGCATTTAAAGTCGTCACATCTTTATGGCCGGTTAAATATGCAATCATTTTTTGGCATGCTCCATATCCAGCAAATAAAATGGAATTTTCGGCGATATTTGCTACTAGAGCTGGTGTACAGCCTGCGTATAGGCCTCGGATGATGCCATCTCTTTGTACGGTCTTTTTTATACAGTTTGCCATACCTGTAAAGGTGAGGAAAGGCCTGCATTTTTACTTTCACTGTGTCTAGGGGCTGGCCGGCCATTACTAAGGCTATCCCGCCTAGAATAATAAAAAATACCGAACATATATTGCACTCATGCATCAGTGATGTCAATTTCCGTAAATAAAATTATAACTAATGTAAACAGAATGTAACTAATGAACGAAGACCAATTCTAACAAAAAACTGGGGATAGGATCAACAACCATAGCACAAATCATGCAGCAGTGATGTCAATTTCCATTTTGAAATACATAATAGAACAACTACAATCATTATTAACTTCCCAGGGTAAGTTATAGTAATCGCAAAAAAATCGAAAATGAAAATTTTTATATATCTTTACGTTTCAAAGATTT